AACCTGTAACTTGATGCACCAAAAAAAAAATTATGACTTCTGGCTTCCATACATGGTTATTCTGTCCAGTCTGCATACCATTTTACAAACAAGTTTTAAAATTTCACGTCATGTTCGCTAACACTCCAAAGACCAGAATCATTTAGCAAGTGAGACTGGCACCAATTTCATCTTCAGTTGGTCCCAGAATGAGATATTAATGTGAACGAGGCAATATACATGAAGGTTCCATAACCTTCAGTCCCAGAGTCTAAATCTGTAAATTGGCTTCTTAAAATTGAATGGCAGAATCCTTCTAACTTTGTGTCACCACAGTGAACTATATAGGCACCCTACTGTTTTTCATTATCTTCTGACCATTAATATCTCTGAGAGTGGGTAGACAGAAGAGATATATGCAGAAAAAAGAACAATTTTGCTAATTAGCAACTTTTATTTTTAAGTTAGTTGTTTACAGGGCTTTAAATTAGATTTCGAGATTACTTAACAATTTAAATTATCCATGCCCTCCCAGTCTGTTACCAATGCTAAAATAAGAATTAGTTTTACTAATTTGGGTCCCATATAAGTTAGATATTAAGAAGGAAAAAATTCTAATTTTAAGGAAAAACAATGGGGTTTCTCTTGGGACCCTCAGAGCTGGACTCTTAAGTCATTCATTCATTCATGATCTGAACAGGAGCCAACAGGGAGACAGATTTTTAAACTTCTAAATACTCAGGTCCACTTAGATACATGCCATACACTGGTTTAGGAAAAAAGAAAACCACAAGGTAAAATTCAGAGGATCTGAACTGATGCGTACCAAACAGCAACTAACCTTACTAGGAAGATGGTCACTGATAAACCTGAAGAGAAAGGGCCATAAAGCAAACTGTGACCAGCTTATGTCAATGAGATACACAAAGGTACTTAAAAAAAATAAATAAATAAAAGCTGCGTTTTACTAGAAATGACTAGCTGGTGTCTTGTCTTGGTAGTGCAACAGCACCATTACAGCAAGGGTAAGCAGGTCAATCCCTTGCAAAACTTACCTTGATTGGCCCAATGGAAACAGAAGGCCCCAGAAAAGAGAGAAGCATCTGGCAGTAGCAAATTGTTTTATTTTATCTTTCTGTGGAAAGAAACTAATTTTAAATAAGAACCAGAGCATTTAAAGAATAAATATTTTTTAAAGCTCATTATCTAGTTAGAGCAGCTCTACTAAGAAAACCAGAAGAGCTCCTTGCTGCTTAGAGATGGAGAGAAACAGAAAAGGAATCAGAGTTGTTTCTCCATCAGCTAAGGGAGTTTTAAAACTTGTGTTACTCTAGAATCACAGAATAAATGGTTCTTTTATTAAAACAAGCAAACAAAAATCCTACCAGCAGAATCTTTTGGGCCTGGTGTCTTTGAGTAAAAATTTTTATACAAAATTAAGGGCTATGTTCCAAATAAAAAAGAAAACCACTTGACTTTAAGCCCTTCTACTCCTAATGTTAAGTTAAAAAGAGAAAGACACAGAGCAAACTCCTTTCTCCACTATGATTGCACCAATAAATTAAAGCATCAAGTCTCAAGCAATTATCAACATAAACCATATTAATTAGCAGAAAGACCATACCTAATTGGCTTTCCAAAATACTTTTGATGATTTATTGATACTCAAATGGAAAGAACTCAGCCAACAAAGAATATAGGTATCACAGAACCTGACAGGGGGCATAAAATTATTCATGGTAACTGAACCTGTTACCTTTCTTGGATGCTTCTCTAGGAACTCAGTTCTACTGAATTCACTGAGTCAGCATTAAAACCTTTTGATACAAATCACTCCCACAAAATGTCCATTTACAATTTATACTGGAAATGAAAGGGACAGCTCAAAAGCAGGAGTGCAGAAGCAATAAGCATTTAAAACAAAACAAAACAAAACAGTGTAAGTGGAAAATGAATCATCTTTCCTATGATAAACTAAAATAGAGTAGAACCTCCCTATTTTACTCCCAACACAGGCACGCACGCACACACACACAGAGGAGGAAGCTATTTCACGAATAAACTTTATTCTAAGCCAAGACCTAAACAACCGCTATTTTTAGATTTTATGCCTTTACATGGTTCACAGACATAAATTATGTTGACCTATAAAATATCCACTATTGAAACATTATCTTCAATTCACATAATAGGAAAAAGAAAGTTATTAAACTAAAAAGACTACATACGTATACAGCTACTTAAAAAAGAATTTAATTTTGTTGTTGGTAGAAAATAAATCTTTTATGCAGAAGGCTTTTTCTTACATTCAAAATTTGATTAACATCATCACTCAACATTTGATTTATTTGACAACATTATTTTGGCATAAACTAATCCTTAAACAGCTGCAAGCATTGACCCAGATTTTGAAATCTTGACACAATGATACCACCAAAAATAAACAAATAAATACAAAATAAAACAAAAACTTTCTTACTTGTCCCATTGGCGGCCCTCCCATAGGGGGCATCATTTGCGGCATCATTCCATGAGGGACAGGGGGCATATTGGCTCTCTGACCCATAGGGTGCATTCCCATTGGGGCATAATGCATGCCAGGGTGCCCCATCTGAAAAATACAGACAATTTAAAAATTAGCAAGTAACAATAAATGCTCTCATAAACCTGATTTCAACAAACTGGTTATGTGCAGTGGCATGTTAGGTCAATGTGTAATTTAATTAACAAACAAAATGCAGTACACACAAGTACTTATAATGAACTTGCAACTAACCAAATTACAGAACAAAATGGAAAGAATTAAACTTTTTCTTTTCGTTCTTTTTTTTAAACACACTGCTTTTATCAGTTACTAGATGGCTTGCTAAACTCAGAGCCCATGTATGTGCAAGCCAATTTAAAAATTGTTAGAGATGAAAAACCACAAATTTGTTCTATTTCACACAGAAGATGGCTAACTAATGTCACAACACTGATTATCTTTAAATTTGTTTTTAAATGGATTTTAAATTTTGAACTGAGAATTTACCGAAGTAACTCAGATAAGAACTGGTCTTACCAAAAAAACAGTATGTGTACCGTTGGGCACTTAACTCTAAACACATAAACCTATTTTCTAATACAATCTTTAACACAAGTAGAATTATTTCCGCCAGAAGAAAAAAATTTTCAAAGACTAAGATCTGTCATTCACAGACCTTTAAGACAAACAACTAACACACCCATTTTAATTCTCTTTTAAAAGACAACTATTTCTTTACTTGTGTGCCCATTGTTCCGGGTCTTATCCCCTCCCAATTTTCCCAGCTGTACCCCCTGCAGACACCACTACTACCGGTGAGAACGGATTCTGCCAGGCTCTTTAAAAATCTACAAAATCAAGTCTCCGCCTCCCCCTTCCTGCTACAGCGGGCCTGCCTCTCCAGGAGGCTCGCCGCGCCCAAGGCCCAGCACCTCCACCGCGCATCTGTCTAGGCCAAGCCCTATGGGAACTTCCAGGGACCCACATCCTTCGCTTTTGTGCATCCCCGTTCTCCAGTTCTCTCCCTCGTTACATATCCCACCATCTCGAGCTCTTCCTCCGTCCGCTCTTTTCTTCTTCTCCATCTGGAAAACGCTTCCTCCCTCTCTGACTCCGTTTTTCATTGTGCCGCTCTCCCCCTGCTCCACCGATCCCTTACCGAGGGCCGTCTCCTCAGGAAGCCGTCAGCAGAGACCCAAGAGCCGGAGCAGAGGCTTGAGGCGGACAATCTCCGCTCCCCGTCCCCGGGACCCCGCGAAGGAGTATGGCTCTCCATTTCACTCACCATGAGGCCTCCACGCTCAGCTCCCGTCCCCGGCCTCATCGTCGGGCTCAGACTGCTCCGCCGGCGGCCACTGCCGCTACACATACCAACAAGAAGCGATCTGAGTGGCTGGCGCCCGCTGGGGCTAAAGGTTAAAGGCTGCGCTGCGCTAAGGGGCGGGATCAGCGGGGCCAATAAACTGACAGGCTTCCCCGCCGTCCAATCAGAGTGCGCTGTCGACACGCAGCTCTTCGGCGATTCGCCCCCAGCCTCAGCCTCACTCGGCGTCGCCTGCATGGAGGGGGGGGAGGGGGACGGAGGAAGTTTCTGCGCCTCCTCCGGGAAAACTCCACCAACTTTCCCCGGGGAAGAGAAGACCACCTTGTCCCAGCTTCCCGAGCTTAGACCGCCTCACCCCGTAGGGGGTGGGGCAGTGGGGCCTGCCACCTTCACCCACTCCGCCCGAGTTACGTACGCCCCACAAACCTGAGGCTGCCTGGGGTGGGGTAGGGTGGGGTGGGGGGTAGGGTAAGCAGCTTCTAGCGTTAGCGGTGGTCAGGGACAGACGCGCGCGGGGGCGCGCGCGGTGCTCGAGGCGGAGGGGAGGGGGCGGGGAAGAGGAGAGGAAGGGGCCTCCTTAGAAGAGTTAAAGCCCCGTACGCACCAGCTGCTGAGCCCGCTCCGGGGCGGCGGGGGCGGGAGGGAGGCGTGTCGAGCAGCGTGGAGGGAAGTTGTGATAGGGACGGGGAGAACAATGCAAAAGAAAAAGAGGGAAGGGCAGTTAGAACGAGGGGAGAGCGTTTGGGCGATAAGTTGCAGTTAAACAGAAAAGCCAAAGGAGACTAGGTGCGTCCAGTGGAAGAAGGGAGAAAGCTAATCAGTTCGGAGATGTGAATCAGAGGAGTATGGGCGGGCGCTAGGACCGGGCGTCGAGAAGATGCAGCTTTGGGGCTGCCGGGGCGCGCGCTTGCCGCGAGGTGACGCGACGGTGGCGGAGGTCTCTGGTCGGGACGAAGCACTGCAGGGAGAGGAGACTTGGCTACCCTCGGCCTCGGCTCTCCTCTCCCTGCGCACTTCCCTGCTTCCCTTCCTTCCTACTACCCGGGGGTCGTGCCCTGATCCCAGGGCGCCCACCCTTTCTTTAGGCGCCACAGCACCTTCTCCGCCCCGTAGCGCGCTCCCGGACACCCCTGCGCGTCAGTGCCGGGTGGTGGAGGCTGTGGGGGGCTCTGGCCGCTGATTGGCTGCTGCGAGGGCGGGGCGGGGCGGGTGGGAGTCTCTCGACGCCTGCTGGCCTCCTCGTCTTTCCCGCCATGTCGTTTGTGGAGAGCGGGCGGCGCTCGGCTCCTCTGCGCCGACGCCTCGGCACCCCCATTCCGTTTGCCCGGCCGGCCTTTTCCGCCTTCAGTCAGGGGGACAGTTGGGGTGAAGGTGAAGGGGACGAGGAGGACGGATGCGACCAAGTGGCCCGCGACCTGCGGGCGGAGTTTTCGGCCGGGGCGTCGTCGGAGCCTAGAAAGGGCTTGCTACTCCAGCGGGACGGGGACGGGTCGCCGGTTCTGCCCGATAAGCGCAATGGCATTTTCTCTGCGGTTGCGGGCGGCCGGGCCCAGGCTCGGCGGTGGCCTGTCCAGGTCCTCTCAATTATCTGTTCGCTGCTGTTCGCCATCCTCCTCGCCTTCCTCCTCGCCATCACCTACTTGATCGTAAAAGGTACTGAAGCTCGGCCTTGAAAGTCTCTCCAGAGTAAAGTTGAAGGCTTTTGCTTTCGTCTCGCTCCTCCCCATCAGAGGCCAGCGAGCGGGTAGCGGCTTTCACCCGGAGTCCTCATTGGCACCTTTCTTTGCTCTTCCTCTGTTTTTCCTTAAGAGCGGAGGACCTTGGTCCAAGCTTCGGAGACCCATTATAAGGAAGGGTCTTGATTAAATGGGTACTGTCGAATAAACAATCGAGTCAGCGAACACTTGCGGTGAAATGTCGGCAATATTAAGCAGTATGTAGGGCAACAGTCGTTAAAAGACGGTGAAGAGCGTGCGATTAAAATGGGCTAAACATAAAGACTTGATTTAATCCACAAGTGGTCATTGAGCTGTCCACTGATTGCTTGTACACTCACAGAATTCCTGAGAGACCAGGATTTCCATCCCACAGCCTAAAGTTCTACTTTCACAGATAAAATAATTAGCTCTCTTGATTCTGTGTTAGATTTTCAACCGAGTGTGAAGATGTAGGAGCTAGATAATCTATTGTTTTTCTGATTACCAGTTTTATTTTCTTGTGTCTGAAGTTTAAATACTGGCCCAATCGCAAGAAAGAGATGTGCCATGAAAGAATTTTCAGAATTTATGTAGTTGTATTATATGGCTGGAATATTTTACGTTACAGTGGAAAGAATCAGGCCAAAGTTTAAATGCCAGTTCTCACTGTGTGTGATTTGGCCAAGGTATTGACAAAGAAAAGTTGAAACAAGAGCACTTAGTTCTGTGAGAAGCACACAACTGATGTCACTCAAGTATTCGTTTTACTTCACTTAACAGAATAAAATCGGCTTGACTCCAATTTGAATTTTTCCTCATTGCTTCCCAGCCCTTATTGGGCTGCAGATGGCATCTAACAACTTATGCTTGATTTCCATTCACAAGACAGATTGGCAAGTTAACATGAACCTCTTTATACAGCGGTCCTGGGTGTAAACTGTCAATATGAAACGTGTGGTTGCCAGTGTTTCATTTCTCTTTCACTACTCTTTCCTTTTTTTCACTGAAACTCTGTGAGAGTTTTGTAAGTCATTTCTCTTATGCCGTGAGAGGTTCCCTTTATATCATAAAGTCACAAAACTTGGTAAGTGGAGGCCATTGTGGAAGACATTGAGTTCTTATTTTTGAGAATGGAAGGAACTTAATATGGTGTGTAATTTGTGTTATATAGAATATTTTCAGGAGCTGGCTGGCTCATTTGAAAGAGCATGATCTTGAGGTTGTGAGTTCAAGCCCTACATGGGGTGTAGAGGTTACTTAAATACATAAACTTAAAAAAATATTTTCACAGTAACACTAAAGTTGACTCAACTACCTTTTTTTCTTATTGAAGGTCACGGAGCTAGTAAATGGAATCAGAACTTAGAACCAGTTGATTATGACTCCAGAGCACTTTCCACAACTCCCACAGTTTCTTCCAAGCCTTTGAGCTACTGTTCAAATTGTAAAATCATCTTTTTTACACAAGCCCCATTTTTTTGTATTTTACAGAGTTACATGCTGAGAATTTGAAGACTGAAGATGCAGACACTGGGCTACTAGGTATAGACTTAACTGTCCTTTAATTTGTTTTTGACTTCATTTTTATTTTCCCGGAACATGTTTAAACTATACAAAATTTTAGATAAAATGCTTAATATATTCCCTTGTGTGATTCAGTGTTAATTTTTTTGTTTGCATTTGTGTGTGGCATATTTTGTTAGATTTTTTTCTTTGTATGTTTGGTGTGTGTATACACTGCCCACACTAGGAATACAATTTGAACACAACTGTATGTGATGAAGACCCAGAGACCATTTAACGTTTTCTAATTACCTTCTGGAAAAGTCTCCCTATACCTCTTCCCAGGAATTAAAAACAAACTTATAAACTAAGCAAAGATGGCATCATAAGCAGACCTCAGGAGAAATTTAAATTCAACTCTCCTTATAAGCAACTTGTTTTTCAAAAACGTGAAAAGCATTGGGCATACGTGTACAGATTAGTGATGACTAAGAGACTTTAGTTTTTATGCAATGTCTGTAGAATGCTATAGAATACAGATTACTAATGAAAAATTTGAGGGTTATTTTCTTGTATTTATTTCTTTCTGCCAAAATGATTTTAAAATGTATAGAACTTTACCTGTTTAGTGTGTTTTACTCCTGTTTGCTGTAATTTATTTTGGTCACTCTGAATTGGACAGAAAAAATGGTTGAGATCCTATCCTGCATGTTAACTCCCTCCCAATTTTAGCTAAACTATTTAATCTAGTCTTCAAGGCTAATGCCCTCACAATGATACAAAATAGAGTCTGCCTGATTTTGCAGAAGGAGAAACTTATCTTCAAATTATAGAAACAAATTAGTTGCTAGATGTCCCATGAAAACTTGTCTATTGTCTTCTCAGTTTCTTGCATGAGAAAATGTACTTCATGATGATTCATTTTAACAATGTATGTTGTGTAACAACAGTCTAAAAACAGTCAAGATTATAAGTATTTTCATAGCATTTATTGATCTATCAGCTCAATACAACAGAAACAGAATCTTAAGAACTAAGCACGAATTCTCAGTTGTTTAAAAATTGACAAGATTCATAGGGTGCCTGGGTGGCTCAGTCAGTTAAGAGTCTGACTTCAGTTTAGGTCATGATCTCACACTTTGTGAGTTTGAGCGCTGCATTGGGTTCTGTGCTGACAGCTCAGAGCCTGGAGCCTGCTTTGGATTTTGTCTCCCTCTCTGCCCCTCCTCTGCTTGTGCTCTTTCTCTGTCTCTAAAAAATCAATGAAAAAAAATTTTTTAAGTTAACAAGATTTCATTCACATTTATGAAAAGCACTTGTCATCTGAAGGAATAGCTTGTTCAATATCAAAAGGATATAATAGGGCTTTATCATTGCCCCACTTCTTTATCTACTTCCAGTTAGTCTGGTATTGTGTTTAGATGTGCCTGATAGTTAATGTTGTGACAGCATATATGAAGATCATTAAGTCTTTACTAACATCTTGAATATACTTTGGAGATTCAAATGAGGTGAGAAACTGCTATATCTTTTTTTTTTAATGTTTATTTTTGAGACACACACACACACACAGCATGAGCAGAGGAGGGGCGGAGAGAAAGGGAGACACAGAATCCAAGGCAGGCTCCAGGTTCTGAGCTGTCAGCACAGAGCCTGACGTTGAGCTCGAACCCACGAGCCTTGTGGCATGAGATCATAACCTGAGCTGAAGTCAGATGCTTAACCAACTGAACCACCCAGGTGCCTCAGAAACTGCTATATCTATATGGCCAAAAAAACCCCACTAAACAATTATGCCAAAACAAAAATCCATATTTTGAACCAATGCTTCAGTGGTCAAATGGCGAATATATTCAGGGTCACCTAATGGACTAATTCAGTTTCCTGAGGATAACTTTGAAGTAAGCGTAACTTTCTTTGTAACAAGTATTCATTATAACGTGTAATAGAAAATGCTCTTCTCTAGAAAGAGAGTAAGATTCTTAAAAACCTGTCTCTTCTGGAGAAGCAGTGCCAGGATGATTAAACTCTTATAAAGTTGAGGTTACTGAGATAACACTTGCCCTTACATTGTTTTAAGCTGAAATTCTCTTCCTTTGGTAGAAAAATAGAACATTACACCTTTACAGAATAATGTTGTGGGTTGACTACTAGTCTTTGGTTCAAAGTCCAGTTGAGACAGCTGATAGGTGAAAATAGGCCAGTTGTTTTTTTCAAATTTTTACTTACATTCAAATCATCCTTGAGTTGATTAGCTTACATATGAAGGATTGCTGTATTAGCTTATCCCTGAGATAATGCCTGTGGAATTATATATTTACCTATTTGCAATTGATATAACAGCTTTCACATGAAGAAACAATCTTAGTAAAAACTGTGTTGAATTTGTCCATTACTTACAGACAAAGCAGAATGCAGCCTTTTCAAGTCGTTCTGATTTTGTTCTATTATATTTAGTTTGCCTTGTTTGCTCGGAATCTCATAGCTTAATGTAATGTTTGATTGTTTTGTGCATTCCCCTTTGTTTTGTTGAATTATTATTGTCTGTACATGTTGTTATCTTTATATTTCAGTGATTCCTATTTAAATTTTATTTACTGCCTCAATTCTTTGAAAATCAGCTGGTTTTTAGAAACAAGTAATGTAAGCATAGTAGCTACTCTACCATGAAACCATTCTCTTTCTAGACTTACTAATAAAAATTTTCACACTGCAGGTTTTTTTAAAAAAATTTTTAAATGTTTGTTTTTGAGAGAGAGAGATCATGTACAAGCAGGGAAGGAGCAGAGAGAGAGTGAGACACAGAACCTGGACCATGCCCCAGTCTCTGAGCCGTCAGCACAGAGCCCAAAGCAGGGCTTTGAGCTCAAGAAACATGAGATCATGACCTGAGTGGAAGTTGGATGCTTAACCCACTAAACCACCAAGGTGCCCCTGCAAATTTTTGCATTGCAATTGAGGCCTATTCCAAGATTGGCATAGCTCATTAAGAGCAGATTTTACAGCATAGCTCATTAAGAGCAGATTTTACAGCAGTTCTCCTTTTAGTATGTGTAATAATCACCTGGACTTTGTTTTAAAAAGTACCTCTAGATTTTGTTTCTGCACCTGGAGTCTGAGAATCTTCATTTATAACAGGTGATTTTGCTGTACTGCCATTAAGGAAATATGTTTGCAGGGTGAGAATCTCATTTTTTTAAAATGTAGTTTTTTGGGTTTTTTTCTTAAGATTGCATTTAAAAATTTTTTTTTAATGTTTTTATTTTTGAGAGAGACAGAGACACTTAACTGACAGAGCCACCCAACTGCCCCAAAGATTGTGTCTCCCTCTCTGCGCCTCACACTCTGTCTCTCTCTGAAAAAAGGAATAAACATTAAAAATAAATAAAATAAAGATACTTCTTCTCCTTCTCTTTCTTTTTTATTAAAATTTTTAAATGTTTTTTATTTATTTTTGAGAGAGAGAGAGACAGCGTGAACAAGGGAGGGTCAGAGAGAGAGGGAGACAGAATCTGAAGCAGGCTCCAGGCTCTGAACTGTCAGCACAGAGCCCAATGTGGGGCTCAAACCCATGAACCACGAGATCATGACCTGAGCTGAAGTCGGACACTTAACTGACTGAGCCTCCCAACTGCCCCAAAGATTATATTTTTAAGTAATCTCTGTACTCAATATGGGGCTCGAATTTATAACCCCAAGATCAAGAGTCACATGCTCTACCAGCTGAACCATCCAGGTGCCTTCTAAAAGTGTGCTGAAGAGCAGTTAAAAGTCCTTGCAAGGTGACTGGTGACGGACTAAAAATAGTATATAAGCGCAAACGCCTCTTAAGAAACATAATTTTGAATGGATCTAAGACACTGCCATTCTCTTGTGATCTTTGAAAGAAATCTTCATGGGAAACCCTGCAGATTTTTTAAATTTACAGAACCCTTATCTACTCAATCAAAGTTAAAGTCACTTAATTGGCTGCGTGCTTTAATGTCCAATATAACATCAAAGTCCCATTTTTCCATTTTCATGAGGAGTTTTATTTGTAAAGGTTGATATTTTGTGACTTTAATTCTTTCTTGGAGCATCTTTCAGTGACTAAAGAGAAAATTGAATTACATTTTTGATAAAGCTTATTTAATCTTGATACTACCATGTTGGTCTTTTAGGTCCTTTTGTAAACCTAAGATACATAATGAAATTTTAGTGATCTTTTCTATATCTCAAGACATTTTGCTATTTCATTATTTAGGAGTAATCTTAATAGTACTTATCAGTTACTTTTTAACTTTGCTAAAGATAAATAAATTATGATGGAATCCTCTAGAGCAAACGATGGCCTACAGACCAATCTGACTTACCTGTTTTTTGTAAATAAAATTTGTTATAGCCTGGCTTTACCATTTCCTTATACATTATGGCTGCGTTCATGTTACAGTAGCAGAGTTTAGTGGTTGTGACAGACCTTATGGCACGTAAAACTCAAGATACTCTCTGACCCTTTACAAAAAAATACAAATCTAGTTAGTCATTCAACAGAAATGACTTCAGGCAAGAACATAAACCATCCTCTTTGCTAAATGATATATATTTTATTATTCATATTTTGTGCTATTTCTCTGCCCTAACTTATTTCCTAGTGTTTGTAAATGGAAAAATGCTAAAGGCAGCTATGTATAAAAAAGGTGATGGGAAAGAAATTTAAAAAATTCACTGGATTGATCATTCAAATTGTTAATAAATCTAAAAATGAAAATGTTTTGCAAATTATGGAGCAAAGGGAATGATTATCCTTTCTTTGCCATGTATTTTGTGTTTCGGTGATGCAAGTGCAAAAAGAAAAAGCAAAACTAATGATAAGCTCTAACCACTTAAAGGGGGATCTGAAGTCTGGAATCAGTATTTATAAGATAATTGTATTCCACATTCATGCATGAAGTTAGTAAGCAGTTATTTGCATTCAAGAGTATATGGCCATTTCTAGTGTGTATATTTTTAAAACCAAGGAAATTCAGAATAAAACTTAGGATTTGTTGTATTTATAAATC